TCCTGTCTGCCTTTCTCTCTGACTCTCTTTCTGTCTCCTCCCTCCCCCCATTTACTCTCTAAATAAACTATATTTTCCAATCTTAAAAAATATATATTCTTCTTACCTTTTAAAAATGATTGAATACAGGCTCACAAGCCTCTGGGAGATGAGGTAAATACCCCATTTCCCTTATCCCTCTGTCCTGTCTCACCAACGTGCACAGTGAATGAAATAAATTTACATGAAATAGACTTGAAATAGACTTGCAACCGAAACCAGATCATTGTCAGACTAACTGGTTGCATCAGCTCCCTGACTTTCAGAGTGTTTGAGAAGGTAAAGGGATTCATCTTTCCCTTTCCCTTCCCCTCTGCCAAAATAAGTCAGAATTCCAAGCAGTGAGCCCAGTTCACACATTCAGTCCCATTTCTCTGGGGCCTTCCCACCTTGGTTGGTTGTCATCCTTTGGAAAAACCCCACTACACACAGGTGTGGCTGGGCTGGGGGGTGCAGCGTGTCTCAGCACTACGTCTCTGGAACACTCCCAGGCTCTATGCCCCGACCTCAGCAGAAAGCCAGGGGTGTGTATGTGTGGACCTTGCCTGCATGCCCGGGTGTGTGTAATTGCCCGGCCGTGTGTGCTGTTTCACTCGCAGTAAAAATCCAGCAGGGAAATGCATGCTAAAATTAGTTTGTTTGTCCTTTGACAAGATCTCCCCAGTTGAATTTTGTTTATCCAACTGGCTGGACAGACTTTGCTAAAATCAAAATTAACTGCCTTGCTTAATGGTGCAGTAGATTGTATTTTGAAGAACTTCCCCTGAATTCTTCTTGAAAAGGACATTTGATCTAGAAAGTCTGGCTTCTGGCAAAGCTACAGCATTTTGGTGTAGGTGTTTTTTTCCTCTGTGTCCTAGTTGTAGGGTGAATGCATGTAGCCCGTTGCTCTACCCTGAGTCACTACATCTGTTGCACGGGTGGATGGATGGACAGATGGACGGATAGATGGGTGATGGGTAGACTGGCAGTTCGACAGTTTAATTTGCCTTGCCATATGTCTCAGAAGTCAAGTCTGTTAATGTTTAAGAGGAAAGAAAACCTGTAATTAATGTTCTTGCAAAAAGTTTTTACTAAGCCTTACCCAATGGCTGTATCTTTGGGCCTCATTCATTCATGTGTTCATTCGTTCAACAAAAACAGTATTTAATAAGCACTTAGTGTATATGGGCACATGGGATATAGATTTAAACAAAACAAGACTCTCTTCCTCCAAAGAACTTACCACGCAGTGTGGGAAACAATAGTCAAAGAGTAATTACACAAATAATTATTTAATTATAGCCACAATCATCGTTTTTTAAACTGAGATATAATTCATATATCATAAAATTTGCCATTTGAAAGCATACAGTTTGGTGGTTTTTAACATATTCACAGAGTGGTGTTTTGTTTTAAAATGATACTGTCTAGTGAAAAACTTAGTCTCTTCTGCTACTGTGTTGTTGACACAACCACCCACACTTGGCCTGACTTACTTCAACTTGTCCATTATTTGGCATTGTGTGATCGGTGATCATTAAGGCCATAAAGGGAGGAGAGAAAAGAAAGTTTTCATTGGAACGATCTCATGTGAGATGCACCTTCCAGAACGAGTCATGGAAACGTTCCCTCGGGGCCACTTCCAAGATATCATGTCTGAACCGAACACCTCTGATGTCCTCTCTCCTCCCTTTATGACATTAATGATCACAGGTGATGCAATGCCAACGTAATGGATAATCCGTTGGAGTAAGTCAGACCATGTGTGTGTGATTGTGCCAACAACACAGTGGCAGAAGAGACTGAAATTTCACTTGACGGTATCATTTTCTTTCTCTTTTTTCTTTTTTTGAGTTGGAGCACTCCTCGTTGCCCAGGCTGGAGTGCAGTGGCACACTCACTGCCACCCCAGTGCCAACCTGCTAGACTCTGGCGATCCTTCCACCTCAGCCTTCCAAGTAACTGAAACTACAGGCACATGCTACCATGCCTGGCTAATTTTTTTTTTATTTATTGTAGAGACAAGGTCTCACCAAGTTGCCTGGGCTGGTCTCGAACCCATAGGCTCCGGC